GTATCCATTGATAGTCGTTGATTCACCTGAATTATTTACTGGATCTTTTGTCTGTTCAGGTCTATTTATGTTCCTGTGGTCAGTGGCTTTATCAAGCAAGTCTCGATCAGAAAACAACTCTTCAGTCCGAGATCCTTCCACCCAGAAAATGATGACAACCAGCTTCAATAACTGAATCACAGATTTTTGCTGCATAAACAAACAGCGCCTAAATTAGGTGTTGACTATCTATTGGTCTTATTTTATATGCTTTATAATTTTACAAACAATGAGTCTTTTTGCTAATGTTATACTTTTCTATAAGATGTCTTTAAAAAGACTGTGCTCCAGAAATTTTATGTTCTTTGCATGTATTTATTGTTTAGATTTTATGTTTATAAAATATATCATGAAATAAAAATTATGTCAACGTCTATGTTCATCCAAAGTTTTTCAGTTTACCTGAAAAGCCCAACCAAATTGTTAGACAGCTGTGGTTTGGCTTCTGTGTGGCTGTTCATTTAGTTCACACAACCATCCACAAGAGGGAGCCAGGAGTTGCTGTTTAACGGGGAACCTGCTAAGCTAATTACATGTACCTGCAAATTCTCAGCTCAACCAGAGCTGATAAGGAGCCAATTGCCAGTCCTCTGATGCCTGAGTCTTAGCTTTACTCTGGGCCTTCCAGTTATTGGTCTTTTTATGTTCCCTGAGCTAGTGATGGGCAAATGAAGATTCATGAAGCAGTGAAGCTTTCAACACTTTGGTTTGCAAAAAGGTTCATTACTCATTGCTACATTCATCACTCACTAATGACATCTGCTGGTGAAACTGTAACAGCCTTGTCACTCCATTGGATCATACTTCCAATAATTAGTAAATGCAATATTGTCACAAAGTTTTTATCAAACTTAAGTTTAGTAACAGGAGAATCAATTAAATCATATTTAATTGTCATGTTTTAATTATTAAAATGATTTGTAGCCAATCTAGTCCTGGTTGAACGTCAGTGGTTGTGTTGGGTTTTCTTTTATGCCAGATACTGATATGACAATAAAGACATTTGATGTTTTAGTGTGTTGGGAGAGGAGTGCTTGTTGGGGCATTTGCTTGGATTTCTAATTGGCTCTGATCCCTTATATTTAGCTAAATACAGACTTTTAGTCTTGCAACAGCATTAAATCTGTTTCTGCTGTGCAAGACTGATATATCTTTGCTAATCAGACTACAAATAATAGTGGAAATTTTCAGAAGGTGAGAAATTGGGACACGGAGGGGTTAATTAATTTTACTTAAGAAGAATTTTATTGTGAGCGATCATCTCAAAGTATTCCCAGATGTCAGAGATTTTCCTCGTGCTGGCTCCATTTCAGTCAATCAGTCTAGCTTATTTGTGTATCACATTTCAGCAACAATGCAGTTCAAAGAGTTTTACATTATAAAATCACAAAAATATAAAGTCATATAAAAACACAATAATTGACAATTGAGAAAACCAGTAACAAACAGTACATTTTGATGAGTGCCATCATCAAAATCATCAATACACTTCAAATATGTTGGTCAATGTTCCTTTTATTTTGGCCACTGAAGACAAATATTCCCCTCTGATTCACGACCAAATGACCTACAACAACCCATGAAGCAGCATGGCTCATCACGCTATTATTTTGAAAACCGACACGCAAAATAAAGCAGTCGTGTCCCGGGTGATGCGAGGCGTCGGTTTTCAGCAAGACGGCACAAGCATCGAAGCGGGGCTTCATCTGACACGCCCCCTTTTTACCCGGTACACGCCTCGAAGTCTGGATTCAGATGTTCCATCTCTACTCTGAGCTTTTTGAATTTTTTTGTGGCTTAATCTATGATCTCCTTTAAAGGCGTTTTCTGCAGCAATCTGGATTCTAGTGATGGTGAGATGAAGCTTCCTGAAGCACTGAGGCATTACATCCAATAGTTTGACTCATGAGCTGGTGCACCACGGTGCTTTATTTGATCTGCTGCGACATCAAGTGGAAAATATATGTAACATAGGCAAAGTGAAAACAACTTGAAGCCTTACAATAAATAAGTAAATTATGTTTATGATTCTGATCATAAACATAATGATCAGAATCATTATTCTGAATATAATAGAATATTCTGATAATAGTCTTAATCTGTTCATCTGAAACAATGGCTGGATGAAAAAAGAAATCAGAAAACAAATGGGGGGGAGAGAGAGTTGTGATTGACTTGTTACTCTAACCAAGCTATGTCACAAGGGACAAAATTACATCATTTACTAAAGAATAAAAAGTTTAATTTTGCTTGAATCTATGTGATTTCTCTGTTTTCAGATGATTCCATCTGCTACGGAAAATACCCATGCTCACAGAGCAAAGATGAAGCAAGAAATGCATCAGCTGGTTTGTGGAAGTTGGGATAAAACATTTTGTCACTTTCCAAATATTCCAGTGGATGTATTCTGTCTGACCTTTGAATCCTAAATTGACTTGGCTGAGCTTGACCAACCTGGTTAGTGCCTTTCTGCAGAGCTCAATAAACCCTCAGCACAGGTGAGGTTTTTTATCATTAAAGTTAATTTGGACACGACGCTTATCCTTTTAAAACATTAGAAATTATTACGCAGGATCCTCTGTCTTGGTTTTTTGACATTATTGGTGATGGTTTAATAATGCTGTGGGAAACTATTTGGCAAGATTAAAATGTTGCCAGACCTGGGAAACTTGGGTCCATCAGAAAAAAGATGCTCCAATGAATTGCACAAGCAATAAAATCTAAAACAAGAAACTGTGACGTGTGAAACAGCAGCGTCTTGCCTTTCATTTTGATCCGCAAGCAAACTGACAAACCAGTTCTGAATGGTGGAGTGGTTTTAAACGTCACAAGCTGCTCCTTCAACACATGCCTCAATACGCTTCATAAAAATCCTCCTGGATTACTCGACTCACGCTCTGAAGCCTCAGCACAGAAGACACATCACTACTGGATTCTGCTCCCTGTGCTGAGTTTGTTTCTCCTCGTCTTCTAAAGACTCTGAAGTTCTCTGGTTCAAATCTCATGACTGGCGACGTCTTGTTCCTCTTCCTACAAGTCTGTGCTGCGTAACCTGTCCCCCCTCTAACAATGTTACCATCCAGCAGCCTCCACCAGACCCCTCCACAGATCCCCGGCTCCCAGCTTTACACAACTCTGGATCAGCTGAGTCTTCTTAACATGGTACGTTTTGCTAGACATTGTCAAACATTGAGAGGTTTGTTATCAAACACGCTGTTTTGAAGCCAAAAACCTCTGAAATATATAGGGACACATCGAAAATCAACTAATTTAAAGTTAAAACTTTAGTCTTGGCACCTGTTGCATTAGCTGTTAGCTTCAGCCTCCAGGTCCAATCCATACGGACTTGCACTAACTAAAGGCCCCAAGAGAAACATCTAAATAACTAATAATCTTTCAAAAGAAAATTAATAAAGAACTCTTGGACTATTCTTTTAAATCACCACAGAAGCACCCATCTACTGCTGGAACAAAACAAACTCCTCAAATGCTAACATAAATGTTGAATTGGACCGTTCCAGGTCGCTATCAAGCTAATTTTCTATTAACATCTCCATAAATCTTTTTCGATAAACATGACGTTACCAAGACACATGCAAACATACCATGATCTTGTCTTTTTTTATATTCTCTCTTTTCTCTCTCTGTGATAAGTCTTTTTTGTTGTTGTTTTGTTTACTTCTCTTCCACCGGTGTTTTGGATGAGCACTGCACATTGCATGGCAGCTCATGTTGCCCGTGAAGCATGACCCACCGCGGCCACCAGGTGGACCCCAAGAACAAGTTATTTTTTGCGTTTGAAATTAAATATTTACATAAGTTATAAAGACACAACTTTTTTTTTTCACTGACATAAATTAAACTTTTCTGTTGAAGGTAAGTTAGAGTTGTCATAATCCAAATATTAATAACACTTTCTTCAAATCAAAAGTGTGCATATATTTCCTTGGTGTTTGGTAAAACATCCTGTGATCAAATGTTTTAGCTCTTCTTTCACAAGCTTGCAGAATTTTTGGTCCATGCCTCTGGACAGAACTGGTATAACTGAGTCGGTTTTAAAGTTCACCTTCAATCAAGAGAATTTCACTCAATCCAGAGCAGGAATTATAATATATTTAGAATCCAGAGAAACTCTTTTTAGTTTATGTGGAGAAACTTCTCATTACTTTAGAACAACATTATCAGAACAAGAATCCAGAGAAACCCCTACTAGTAAATCAGTCATGGATTATTTATCCTTATTTGTTTCCTTTCTTCTTCTTTTGCTCTATGGTGTGTTGTTTTGTTGCATTTCCTTCTAATTCATGCAAAGCACTTTGAATTGCCTTGTTGCTGAAAATGTGCTATAAAAATAAAATGGCCTTACCTTACCTTGTTGCAGTTCACCCATTTCCCTTCTGTGCACCATCCAGGTCTGTTTATCAGTTTCAGGAACTGACCAAAACCCCTCATTGTCATTACCTTGAGAAATAATGAGATTTGGTGAAGTATAAAAACTTGCCCTATAAAAACGTTACAAGTCATTCAAATGGAACAGACAGATACAAAGTGACATTCACTGTCCACCGCCAAGTGAAGCAAAGGTTGTAGTGCGAGGTCTGCTTTTATCTTTTCATTCTCCACCTTTAGTAGCTAATCTGGTGGTATTTGCTTGGGGTCACTCTCCATTTAGAAGACACATTTCTTCCTGGCTGTTGTTTTTGTGAAGTGTATTGGCAGTCAGTAATTTTTTTCTGTTTTTTTGAATAATGGCTTCTTTCTTGGTGTGTGACCTTACAGCTCATGTCAGTACAGGATATGCATCACTCTGGGTAACAACACTCTCATCTTCACCACAGCTTTGCTCTGGTTTCGTGGTTGAGTTGAGTTTTATGACTTTTTCACATCTGGGACACAGAACTCATAACCGAACGCTATGACAGCTGAAGGCTTCCATGATGTTTATACTTGCATATAAATGGTTTGATGCATCAACGTTTTTCAAAAAGACCAAGGATTGTATTGAAATGTGCTGATCGCTCATGATGAAGTCTTGGATGATTTCTTTTAGATTTTTCCCAGATGTCATGCAGCAGTGTGTTTTAGCTGCTGTCTCCTATTACATTCACAGTCACTCCTATATTTATTTAATGTGTTGTGAATCAGCCAATCAGTGGCTTACAAAACTTTGACATGATTTATATTTTATAAGTTGGTTAAAAGTAAACTAATTGTAGTTCGTGTAAACATTTGCAATATGAACAAAGAAATGGTTAATCTTTTATGTCATTTCCTGTTCTAGCTCATAAGTGAGCTGGAACAGGAAACATCTGATTTAATGTAAGATGGCGAGAAAACAAGTTATGGGTCTTGTGATATAAACTGTCAAATCCAGTATAAAAAGGGTGCAGGTTTAAGAAACAACTTAGTACAGATCAAGAAAGATGACCAGGCCGATGAAAGCAAAGGGGGCAGAGAGCGCCGATCCAGAGCAGGCGATGTGGCTGAGGTTCACAGCATGATGGTCAATCACACTCAGAGCTCCATGATGGAGAGAAATAAATTTTACACAAGTTTTCCAAAGTTGTTTATTTATTGCAACTTTTTCAGCCTTTTACCTCCCAGATGCTGAGCTAGCTAAATTTGATCAGGGGGGAATGGTAGTTTTTTTTTTTGGAAAAGTGTTCCTTCTTGTTTTGGATGATGGGTATACCCATCATCCAACTATAGTTGGACAGATTTTTGGCAATATTTTTCATACTTTGCTGTTTTGGTCTGATGCGTGTCCATAGCAACAGGGTGGTTTACAACAGGGAGCAGTTGATTAACATTGGAAAAACTGAAATATGTTTTTATTTAATTGCCCTTTACGATAAATATAATATTTTTGAATTTGTGCCTACAAAAAGTGGTGAGGACAGCGGAGAGGATCATTGAGACTCCACTTCACCCTATCCAGAACATTTCACACAGATGCTGCTTAGCCAGTGATAACCAGATCCTCTCTGTTTCCACCCATCCTCTCCATGGTCTGTTCTCCGTTGGCTAAGCGATGTGTCTTTATGCAACGACAATAAAATAAATCTAAGTCTGTAACTGCAGCAAAAGTTTCTACAAAGTATTGATACAAGAGAGTGGAATGAAAAAACATGGAGCACTTTTGAGAGGTTCATTAAAAACCATGTATTATATTCCTTGATGATAATGCAGTACCTTGGGTTGCTGTGTTATACAAAACGCTTGAAAACATTTATGTTTTTAATTAACATAATGTTAAAATTGAGTGTGAATACTTTTAGAAAACTGTTGGTTACTGGTGACAGAAAAACATAACTTATCTGCACAGCAAAAAAAAACTGCAGATAAGTTCAGCTTCCGTTTTAGTGGCATAACAAACTTCAGTGCTCCTCTCTAATGAAAGCAGAAAAACATGTAAACCCTGATGTGATGCTTTCTTTTAAGAGTAGAGAAGCTGCTTCCATCCATATTGCACCTGTTTCATCCTCTCTCCAAAACACACATGTTCCATTGTTCTCCTGAAACACAGAGAATCAAAATGAAGGAAAATTCTTGTTTTTTAAGGTTTTATTATTGTATATATATAGTTACCATTTTATTTTTGTGGTAAAAGATTAACTGGACCGGCTCAGTGAGATTGCTGACTGGCTGCTTTCCAGTGTTCACAAACAGGACCAGCCCTACTAAAACTCTGACATTCGCAGGGCCGTGCAGAGACCTTTGGAGGGGAAGGGGCTTAAAGTAAAAAGGGGCACTTTGACCTTAAAACACTGTAGATCTCTGTCATTGTGTCTTTGGCCAAAACATTCACCTCCCTTGCCTGATGCTGGTGATGTAGCTGTGGTTACTATCCAGTAGCACCACCATCAGTGCACGAATGACTGAATGTAGTCTAGAGTGCTTTGGAGTCTTCTGGACTAGATGAAACGCTGTAGAAGAAAATGTCAAAATTTGGACAGAAACATAAAGATAGAACCATGCATAACATATTTAGATGGTTTATCAGCAAAAAAAAAAAAAGCAAAACGAAGATTTGGGGGTTGGTTGACGTTTAACTATTTTACTTAGCCACTTAAACAACCACTTCCTTCCTTTAGGCCACCTCTCTCTCAGCATGTGATCAAACTAGATGTGAAACTCTGTTTGCTGCACCAAGCAACCCTGAACCACCAGAGCAACACGGCGCCTCGGTCGGTGATCAGTATCAGTTTGAGAAAGTACAACATGAAGTGGATTACTCTTTATCTCCTAACACTCTGCTTCCCTACGACCAGAGCTGGTGAGTATTTTGGGATTTTGTAGTTTGAACATCAGCTTAGTTGTTAATGTATCCGTCCAGGCTCAGTTCTGCCCATTGGGAAAACATTTCTATCTTGTCTGAATGAGTGATATTCAAATTATTAGTAAATTTTTTCTCGTACCTCTGACGAATTTCATTGTCATTTTTGTTTGCCATGAAAAGTTCTGACTTCTTCACATTCTGTGTCCATTTTACAGACTGTATCTCTCAGAATGTTACTGATGAGTGTATAAAACAAGATCTTGTAAAGTGGACCAGGTAAGTGATCCATGCCATGCTTATGGGGTTGATGTTAAGCTTCTATTCTTACTCCCTAATGGCTTCTTCATTTAATAAATTCATGTTATTGTAAGTCTTTTTTTTCCCTTTTCTTTAATTTCAACTTGTTTTTGGGATTAGTTATGTTCATACCAGTTTTTGGACACTGCTTTATTGCTCATAGAGGAATACATTGTGTCTTCATTCTATTTTTGTTCTTGTGTTTAAATTGTTAAATTGTTGTGGTTACAGTAGTTCTTGTGCTGCATCATTGTTTAGATGATTGATGTGAAATATTTCCTGGTAGGTGCTATGAAGATAAAATTGTAAAGTGTGAAGAAAAGCAGCATAACTGCTCCCAGCTATTTTGCAGGATGGTGAAATCATCAGACCAGGTGAGCTCATAGCTGGTGATCATAGGTAAAGCCTTTATTTGGGAACACCAACACGAGAAATGAGGGTTGGTTTTTTTTGTTGTTGTTTTTGTTTTGTTTTGTTTTTCTTAGAAATTTCAAGCATTTATTTCAGTTAATTTTGATAATTATTAATACAGAAATTATGGCCAGCCTTCAAGTATGTGACTGTACTGTACAGTATAGGCACCAAGTATTTTGGGGTTCTATGCATTGAATGAAGACGATTCTCTGGTTCTGCTGAGGTGTTAAGGAATCCCATGTTGCTTATGCGTCTTCATTATTGGGTCCAGTGTCTCATCGTCCTTTGTAAAGTGGATGTAAATTGTAAAGTGTGAAGAAAAGCAGCATAACTGCTCCCAGCTATTTTGCAGGATGGTGAAATCATCAGACCAGGTGAGCTGGTCTGATGACCAGCTCACCATGTGGTACATAATACCAAATGTAACACATGGTTCTGTGGTACATTTGGTAGTTCCAAAGGATTACCAATTAGCTTCATTTTAACATGAATTTTAGCTAATACCTGCTAAAAAAAATAAAATTAGCATCTCCATCAACCTTGTCAGCACAGAGAAGGAAGGAATGCAATAAAATTTCCTTGGTAAAGTCCAAAGTCATCTGACATGTTTGTCAGATATGGATGTTTTGTATGGACCTATCCTAACATGACCTCTTCAAGGAAGCATAATACGCCACTACTGACTCAAACTGTAAAACTCATAAATGGTGTGTTTTTCACCATCCTCTCAAGGTTTTCTTTTCCATCAACCTCCCATTAACATTAGTCTGAATCTTCTTCAGCTGTGACCTTTTCTCCCTACAAGTGTCAGAATCCGTCTACTGAAGCTGTCCTGTTAGTCTTCCTCATAATGTTTCTGTAAAATTCAGTTTATCTGAGAAACTGAATGGTGGGTTTCAGTGAGATAAAAGCCATAATCATCAGAATGAAAATAAAATATTCAGTTGAAACCAGAAGGTTACATACACCTAATAAAAGACATAACTTTTTTTTCTCACCATGTGAAGTTAAATCAAACCAAACTTCTCTGGTTTTAAATCTCCAAGATTATTTCTATTTGCTAATTGCCACAACAATGAGAGAGAGAATATGTCTGAGGTTTATTTATTCAAATTCAGGAGCTGACGTAAATTTCCTTTGCACTGCATGACTTGAGTCAAACATTTTGGGTTTCCTTCCACAATTGTTTTACTGTGGCTTGCTGGAGTTCTGGTCCATTCCTCCTGACAGAACTGGTAGAACTGAGTCAAGTTGTAGGTTGACTCTCTCACACACACCTTTTCAGATTTGCCCACAAATTCTCTCTGGGATTGGAATCAGGACTTTGTGTAGGCCACACTAATACACTGACTGTGGAGAATGACACAGTGAAACATGTCAGCGTCAGGCAGCATGTTTGGTCTTTTTGTTTTGGGGTTGATTTGGACATGTTATACGCAAACACGTCCATATTTGGGACATAAAGTAGTCTCCTTCCTGAGCGGTATGATGGTTGGACATTTCCATAAACACAGCACCTTCAACTATCTGGAAATTGATGAACCAGCTCTACAATTCTCTTACTGATCTCTTTGCTGATTCCTTGTGAAACTACAGAGTGATGTGTGGCCTTAAAGGACATCTACAGGTCTCCTCTAATTACATCAAATATCTCAGTTTAACCTATCAGAAGTTTCAAGGCCATGTGGCTCAACTTATAAATCTCCAACATTCTATCATTATTGTGGCATTTAGCAAATAGTAATAATTTTGGAATTCTGACTGACCTAAAACATGATAAATGTGGTCTGATTTCACTTTAGACAGTAAGGGAAAAAAGACGTCTGTGTCATTTTAATTGGCATGTGTAAATTGTCTGGTTTCAAATGTATAAGTCTGTTGACTTTGTAAAATATAAGTTTCAGTTGTTGAATTGCATTAATAAACTAAATTAATCTTTTGACATTTACAGGATTAATTTCTCTTGTATTTATGTTAAACTGTGTTCAAAGTTTGATGGAATGTTCATAAATGTTATTAGGACATAGTAAACCAATATGCTGTATTCACAGGACATGGTCTGAAACATAACTGATTTTCTCTTAATAAAATTCTAATAAATGTTCTGGTATTAAGGTTGAAGTACGTCCCACATCCAATCACAGGGTCCAAATCCCATTGCCACACGTTCCGAAAATGAGAAGGGCACAGACGGAGAAAAATGTCCAAGTGGTTTCCTCGGTGATCAACAGCAGATTCTTTCAGGTGTGATTCTCTGAACAAGCAAGCATAATGTTCTTTATACATTTACCTGAACTTCCAGCTTAAGCCAGCATGCCATTGTGAATGCACCAGGTGGATCTTTCCTTCAGACTCATTTCTATTAATTTACATTGTGATTTTTTTATAGTAAAAAATGGAGGCTGTAGAGGCTGTCCCTCTAGACGAATATTACTTTTAAAAAAGAGGCCAATTCTGTCTCCTCATTGCAGCAAACTCCTCAGAACAACTCCGGTACGCAGCCGACTTTCAGAGAACAGGGAACTGTTTTAGGAGAGCAGGTTCTGTTTGTGAGCATTGGAAGCCAGCAAATCAGCAACCTTACTGATCCGGTCCAGTTAATCTTCAACCACAATAAAACGGTAATTGAATAAATACAATTAAAAAAAGGAATTTTCCTTCCATTTCCATTTTGATTCCCTTTCTATGTTTCAGGAGAACAATGGAACATGTGTGTTTTGGAAGGAGGATGAAACAGGTGCAATATGGATGCAAACAACTTTTCTACTCTTAAATGAAAGCATCAAATGAGGATTTACATGTTTGTTTTTCTGCTTTCATTAGAGTGGAGCACTGAAGGCTGTTATACCAAAAAATCCAAAGATGAATTTATCTGCCGCTGCAGTCGCCTCGGCTTTTTTGCTGTGCTTGTGGTAAATCATGTTTTTCTGTCACCAGTAATCAACAGTTTTACATTTACATATAGTAACTTCTAAAAGTATTAACATTTTGTCACATTAACCTAAGATTTAATTATTGTTGGAGGATTTTTCATAACAGGCCAAAACACAAAGTAGTGCAAACTTGTAAAGTGGTAGAAATTTGATAGATGATTTTCAAATTGTTAATAAATATATCTGGAAAAAGCCCCTTAAATTTACATTCTGCCCCGAGTGTTCGAGAAACATTTACTGCAGTTTCTACGCCAGTTACACACACTGATCATATTTGGCTTTGTGAATACCTTAGCATCTCAGAGGTGAAAGAGACAAACGGCAAACAAAATGTCTCCTGAGGATTGATGTAAAATGCATTTCAGCTAAACTTTATTTTTTCCCTGTATAGAATCCAGAAGTGAAGGTGGATGAGGATCATGCTGAGGCTCTCAGCTACATCACCTACATTGGATCAGCGCTCTCTGTCTTCTTTGCTTTCATCAGCCTGTTCATCTATGTTGGTCTGCAGTAAGTTTTTACTTTAAGTTAAACCTTTTTTATTAATGGATTGACATAGCTTGTATTATGTCTTCCTTCTATCCAGGACTTGCACAGGTTTAGAGTCAGGAATAGTGCAGCTTTTTCAGTTAAAAACTGAAGCCAAGAATCCTTCAGTTTAACTGCTCTCCACAGATGTTGGACAGAAACGATTTAGATGCAAATTGTTCACCACACTTTACAGTCAGGGAGCCCACCCTCTTTATTAAAAACACCAGCAGAGGTTGCACTTTGCTGTCCATTGTTTTGATTTGACAGAATTAAAAAAAATAAAATCTTGTCATAATCTCTCTTTACTCATTAACTTTTAAATTGATAATAATGAAACATTCAGTGGCATTTAATTTTCAATGGGCTTCTTTAGTCAACAAACCGAACAGAGAATCCACATCAAGCGAATACATGTAGCTTCTTGTGCACTGTGACAACCAACTTTGGCCCCAGTTACTACAAATGAACAATGAAATTAAACAATTATATTATGAATGATTCCCCTGCTGTGGCCATCACACCAACCAGAATTGCATACCTGCTTGTTAATCAAACCTATAAATGTTTTGATGTTGATCTGGAAGCTGCTTCCGCACTGAAGACTGGAATTATAAGTGCCATTTTAGCCAAAGTTTTAAAATCGTGGAACATTTCTCCAACTAAAGTCACCAGAAGATGAAAAGACTCTGAATAAGAAGTTTTTGTTATTCTAAAATCCCTCGCTTTTAGCAGAAGCTCCTGCACTAAACGAGCTCCAAAGAGACCTGTCCACAACTATTCAAGGGTCAGCTCCCGGATAGCAAGATGCATTTAGTTAAGTGTGCAAGTCAGAGAAGATACCCAGATATTTTTTTTTTTTTATTATTGATTGATTGATTGATTTAGTTGCCTACACAATCTGCTCCGTACTTAAAGTTGAAAATGCTTCCGCATCTGCACCAACTGGTCAGGGGCCTCATGTATAAAGTGTGCGTGCGCACAAAAAATGTGCGGTCCCATAATTTACGCAAAAGTCAAAACTCACCTAAATACACTGTAGTCTGACTACATTTGGTGTTATTTAGACCAAGAAGCATCAAATCGATGTTTTTCATGATTTTAATATTTTATTCCTTAAACGTAAACAATGAAACTGAACCGCATTTATCCTCAGATAATAAGCTAACACGCACACAAAATAAAGAAAATTTTAAAAAGTATTTGAAAACCTCGCTGGAAGTACTTTTCCTCAGTTTTTGTCTCATAAAAGATGTAGCGCATGGAATGCATCTGCGGGGTAATTTAATTCTCACTAAAAAAAGAAAACAGGGTTGGATCAGCAGATTAACTCAAATCTGCTGATTAAAAGTAATCAACAAACTTGATTAATTTTAAGGTGATCAAGGTGTGTATGCAATCACACGTATAGCTGCTCAAAGGTAAGCCACGTAATTGTGGAGCCCTTTGGTTCTGATGGAGAACATCCCCAATGGAAGGATTCAGAGGGAGCGTTTGATCA